AGGAGCCATTCCATGTAAGCCACGACCTGGAGTGCTCAATCGACCATCTCCGACATCTTTCATTTTTTATATATGTGATAGAAGAAAGTGTTTGATGATGTTTGCCGAAAACCGCATCGAAAAATATTGATCCATTGGGTTTTTATGGAGCTTCTACGAAAACTCCCGAAATCCTAGATCATGATAAAACCGTTCATTGTTACGATTGTATCTCAAGAACGGCTCAACAGATCAAGCTGAAACTTTCTATGAACACTTATAGCTAATGATGCTATCACCAGAAAAAATTTCAAGCGAATTGCTTGTACCGTTGGTTTTCTGCAAATACCCTTTGTAGAGGGGTCTAAATGCTAATTTTAGCCAGTTTTGTGATTAAGAGTGGGAAGTCACCGTTCCCGAGCCGTTACTCGGTAACGGTTGCGGTAACGGTAACGATTGCTATGGGAAAAGTTACCAGTTACTCGGGTAACTGGTAACTTCTCAAAAAGACGAAATATCACTTCTATTCGACTGAATATCGACTATACATTATTAAACAGAGTTCGGAGCTACCAGTTACACTGGTAAGTGTTATCCATTACCAGTTACCTGGGAACGGGTCAACTGTATAAATAATGTAATGACAATATTCTGTCGACGGGAAGTGATAATTGATCTTTTTGGAGAAGTTACGAGGAAAAACTAACTGGTAACGGGACCGTTACCAGTTACCTAGGTAACGTTAACTTCCCACCCCTAATTGTCATCCTATATCTGGCGACTAGAGCATGATGGAGTCTTGAAACTTTTTTGCAGGAAGATCTCGATGATATCTTATTTTGCTAAAAGTTTCAGCTTGCCTGTGTGAAGCATTCGTTTGTAGCAATCTAAGAAAAGTCGGGGTTTTCGTAAAAACCGCGATTTGGGACGTTGGCGGTCTCAAAAAATATACAACAGATAAGGAGCGGAGTACTTGGCCCTGAAAGCCTCATCTTTGGCCTACAACTTGGTGCAAAAGTCGACGTGGGATCTCTATGGGAGGCTTGACCATAGGGGCTGCGCGGCTACCCCTATACCAAACCAAGTAAGTGACTTTTGACCCTAAATCTCAACAGCGACGAGGAAAACTATTTAGACATGACATATAGGTAAATTTTCACGGAGAAAACGATGGTGATAATATCAACTGCCCATGTAGAAATTTTTACCCAAAAAAGTAACTATTAAGTACTTTCAATAGTAGGTTTTAAGCAGAACAAAGTACTTATAAGTGAACCTTTATAAGTACTTTTCATACTTTTTGACTAAAAATTACTATTAAGTACTTTTGAAAGTAGGAAAAGTATGAGAAAGTACTATAGAAAGTGAAAAAATTATCAGAAAGTACTATAAAAAGTGAAAAATAGTAAGAAAAGTTACTTTATTTTACTTTATTACTATTAAAAGTGATAAAAAGTGACTTTTGGTTCGCTTTTTTTCTACATGGGTGTGCTCATATTCAAAATTTAGTGGGGGGGAGGGGGGAGGTTGAAGAAACATTAGCTGGTATCTAGAGTGTGTACTTTTTCGATGTAGTTGAGAAGATTTAGAATCTTCGAAAACTTTTAGATGTATCTAATTATTGAAGTAGTAAAGTTTTCTTGTCGACCTTTATACGTTACAATACTCAGAAGCAGCACTGCTTCTCGATGGTGATCTCGAGTTGAGTTATTCGAGTACTATATACTTGAACTGGACTTTAAATTGAATAATTGTAAACGTGTTGAAGTATTCTTTATTCGATACAAATATGGCTAATACTACCGATTAGTAACTATGCAGCTTGATATTAGTTCATAAGGGTGTGGGTGTGGGTATGGGTGGGTGTGGGTGCGTGGGTATCATTGTCTTTCTCACACGAACACCCACCCACACCCACACCCACACCGACACCGACACCCACACCCAAACACCCACACCCACACCCACACCCACACCCAAACACCCACACCCAAACACCCACACCCACACCCACACCCACACCCACACCCACCCACACCCTTTCGATTAATCTAACGATGGGAAAATAGCTTCAAGAGTAGACTAGAAAAAGTTAGACTAATCTCAAATTCTAAAAGGATCTATCATTAAACCTTTGATTTATTTCTAGTTAGATCTTGATTTGAATTCCTATTGATGACCTTTTGTTGAAACTGTTCTTTGATTGTTGATGAAAAGATTAAAATAGAATTCTTCGAATTATGAATGATACGTTTTGATGTACCAATAGCTTTTCAAAATTATAGATCAATATTTGTTTTTCAGACTTAGTTACTTTATTGATGATTGTAGTAAATGTAATTCTACTGTATTAACATATGTCATTAAGAAGAATTAGAATGTAACGTCAATCTATAGTCTAATAGAAATTTTAACAAAAACTTCTCCAGAGATTCAACATTTCACACTTTAATTTATTAGACTTGAGATTGGTTCAATTGCATCTGATATGAGATTGAAACTAATATTGAACGTTAATATTTATCGTTGCATTGCGCTTATATTACCGAATTTGAAAGTTCTAACAATGTCTTTTAAATATTCTTTAATTTCTGTTCTAATTACTATGAAAATATAAAATTTTGTAACTATTGTCGATATCAAGTTATAAGGTAAGAAAGATTAAGGCGAAATATCTTTGTAAGCTTCGTATTGTAGAAAAATCAGTATCGTACCGTGTAATTTTGAGCGGATGAAAATTGTTTTTCAGAATTATTTTTCATCGAAACAGTGAAATTAACAAAAAACATTGATAATTCTCATAAATTTTAGATAAAAAATACATAAAAGTTGCATTTTGAATAATGACACAAATAACAATTTGATATTTCTGAAACTAATCGATTGGAAAAACAATTATTGATGAAGCATTTTCAACAATTTTGACTTTTAGAGAAATTCAAATAATACAATTAATACTAATAACCATTTATCATCCACTTCGCTTATTTCAAAAAATTTTTTCAATCATTAAGTAGCCAAGATATCCTTCTTTCTGACCCTATAAATTGATCATAACTTGAGTCTTTATTTACGAATAAGTACGTTGATAAAACTATCGAAACACATATTCGATCATTATTAGATCTTAAGAAGCTAAATTGGCCGGACTAAAGATAGACTCTAAATCATATTTTCTTTTTCTGTTCAATAGACTAAACAGTTATAAATTCTGCAATAAAACAGTTTTTTTTTGAGCTTCTTCCATACGAAGAAAAGAGTAGATATTTTTCTATTAAACATTCTGACAGATTCTTTTACTGTTTTTTTGTTGCTTAATAACTGTTAAAAATTAATCAATTATTCCTCTACTATTTTTCACTGATTATGCGTTCAAACTATGAGAACAATAGGAACTGTGCATTGATATGATCCAATGTTTTAAATCAACGGAAAATACATTCATTATTTTGTAATACCCGTGGGGAGAAAATAAGAAACTTTCTTTATGAAATTCTACATATTTCTGAGTCTTTTCAGGTCTTGAAAAGTTTTGTGACGTGTATTGAGTACATAGGTAATTTGTAAGAAGATCAATGCAATCATATGGCTTTCAATAAGATTATTTTAGTCGAAATATGAAAATTTCATTGTTTTTTATCGATCTCGACAAAGAGTTTCAGCGCATTTACACTTTAAAATTTTCACATTTAGTAATGTATCATTCATTGAAATATCCAAAAACACATACTAATGAATCATGATTAATTAACAATTTTTTGTCTGATATCTTGCTTTATTGGGAAAAGTAATGAAATCTATATTATATAAAAGTTTCAACTTTTCAAAATATAGTTCTTGCAACAAAAGAATGTCTGGACACATGATGTTTTTTTAATTGAAACATGGTGAAAGGTTTGAATTTAAATAGTATTTCGTAAAAAAAAAGCAAGGTAATATTAAGATATAGATTCAACTGTAGATATTTACTACAAAATTGTAAACCTACAATAAATTACTCGAAAAATACAAATTATCAATGGTAAAAATAATAGCGTACTATATCAAACTTATGTACGAGCATATGGATTATATTCTGCATCTGCTTATTAAATTATTCTTTCTAAAGTTATTTGATGAAAGGGCGATAATAATTTCAAAAAAAAAAATTATTTTCTCGAATAATCACAGTGTACTTCTAAAGTTAGAAAACCAGATTTTTTCCAACATAAAAAAAAATGGCAGTGAGCAAAAATATTTGATTGATATATAACAAAATAAACTCTATCGAATGGATTAGTTAAAATGTATTCATATCAAAATTTTCTTTTAATAGTACCATGCTAATGCAATTAGTCCATTTAAATAGGTGGATGAAAACAACATAATTAGACTGAAAATTAATCCTTGTGATTTATTATTATTGAATAAACCATCCGAACCAAAAAAATATGACAGAGAAAAGAATTAACACTTTATAGAACGACTACATTGGTAAAGACAATTAGTATAACTTTAGTCATTTAAACTCAAGAGATTCACATAAAAAAGAAAAGTGAATGCAAAAATAACGTTTAAATTTTGTATATCTTTATATGTTGATATGTAAATTCATGTTGTTTGATTAGCAATAAAATTATCCTATCAACTGAATGAAACAATTTATCAAAAAACATTGTTCAACTACTAGGCATCTGTTATACTTAACTTTATCAACAAATCGATATTAGTTCTTGTTAAAAATAGAAAATCATTTTTATTTTTATATATTCATCTAATACTCGAATACTTGATTCTTTTCTTTAGTTTCAAAACTTACCAATCGTACCAAAAGTCGATTTTTCAACCTCATTATCAAGTAGAAATCGTATTACACCTGTGGAAAAATAATTTATCTTAGAAGATAGACAACTAGGTGAACTACCCTTCTCTATAAATGCTCTAGAAAATAATAAACAAAATAAGATCAATAATAAGTAATTATTTTCTAATTTAATATTTCTATAGTTATTAGCTTCGATTAATTGTAATTTAGATTACAAATGTCATTAATAAAAAATCGATGTTGTTGTGTTACTATGATAGCTGTTTTAAGTTTAATTCTTCTGGCAACAATATTAGGAGTCGTTATTATGCTTGGTATGTATTCAGAAATGTTAATTTAATAAATTAATTCAAAAGTTAGTCTTATAAAAATTAATTTTTCTTAACATCAGTAATATATATATGCATGAAAAGCATTATTCACATAAATCCCATGGAGTAAAATATTCAAGGAAACGGACTGCGTAACGCGTTTCTGCGATTGGAGCATGCGTTTCGCAGCGTTTTTTCAATATAGAACGCGTTTCACAGCATTCTTACTTCGACAGAATGCCTTTTGCTGCTGTCGTTTTTTGAAACAATCTGAAACGCGTTTTCCAAGATTGCGTTTCGTAGCGTTTCCGAAGTAAAATAATGTCGAACGCATTTCGGTCGATAGGT